AGCAAGGACAGGTACAAAAACAAGAGGTAAAGCGTTCGGAAGTAATCAATCCCTTCTTGCGTGCGCCACGCATTCTACTCCCATTCCGAATCATAGGGCAATTTAATGCGAGAACCAGCCGTATGCAAGCCAGTGTTTCTTGATTCTTCCAGGTAAGTCTGGTACTAATTTCCTTATCCCGTGGGCATGGAAGGATTGCTTTTCTTATTTATTTTTATTTATTTATTTATTTATTTTCTTAGATGGCGTAGGACCCAGAAGTTGATCCTAGCTCGTGCGCATGGTAAAGTGCCACCTTTCTCCGCATCATTCCCCTCTACCCCTCGGGGACGGGTTATGAAACAATTTTTCGAAAATTGGAAGGCGCTTTCCGATTTTTTGAGTCCAGATTTTAGAAAAAAGGTGGTGTAGTGGCAAGTGGCGCGCTTACCACGCGAGCGGTCCGGGGATCAAATCCTGGGTCGTGAGTCGCCCGGGCCAACCAAGCCTTCCATCCCTCCGGGGTCGGTTAATTGGTACCAGACTTGTCTGGGAGGATAAAAACACTGACTTGTACATCGGCTGGCCCCCGCAAGTCATTGTAGGCCACATCGCATTCAAACGCCACTACGAATGTACAAATGGAAGTAGAATGCGTGCCGCATCCCAAAAAGGGATTGATCAACGGCAAATGCTTTATCCTTTATGCTTCATCTTTATATTGCATCAATTAGGAAAAAATGGGCTCAAAAAGTGATGGGCGGTCAACCCTTTTTATCACAGTGCGACATTTGTGGCGGACTGTAAAAATTAGGAGTGGTGTTATAAGCATTATAAGCTTACAACAGCTCTTTTTCTACTGCCGCTATTTCGAAAAACATCTCCAGGAAAAGTTAAATGAAAAAAGGTTGAATGGAAATATTCTGGCCTAAAAAAAAAACGACCTCTCTTACGAAGTATCTCCGATTGTGCGAATTTTCAGGCCCACATAAAAAATTTCATAACAATATTTTAACTGAAATCGCTTCAACATGTTTCGAATGAACTCTTCAATCGCGGTGAAAGGCCTTTTGGCACCCCATGTCAACCTGAGCACATCTGAGAAGGATCCATGCACCATGAACATGGGTTAACAGTCGTCTGCATCTCGGATCCGAACCCAAATCTGTCAAGCGACATTGGAAAGAAGGCAAGGGTTACAGTACATCGCGTTTAGTCTATTTCCAATGAACAGACTTCCGAGTTAAAGAAACTTTAGATTAAATGAACATGTTTTTGTGTACCACTGGAGTTCTATAGTGAACAACAAAATCATATAGAAATGCGTTAAGCGGCTAACTCATAGCTCTTTTCCAACATCAACCAGCTGTTTTATTGACCAAGCCCTAGTGTGGAAAAAGTGATTGCCGTTCAAAAAGTCAGGTGTGACAGTGAGGACGCATCAACTGAATCAGAAAGAATCTCGCGGTCAAAAACGCTTCAGTATCTGAAACGATATGTGTCCACTCTCCTGAGCCTCTTAATGATTTCTCCATGGCACTAGTTACTTTCAAGGATCACAGTGCAGCCACAACAGGGCTGCACAGGAGCCAAATGTAGTTACGATCGACGCTGGACACCCAACGATGAATTCATCCAGATTTATCCCTCTAATGAGTGGGAAAGGAAGGTCCACGAAGCTAGCAGATCTGCCATTCTAGTAGCTCAAAAGTGCTTGAGGTGAGCACTAGGGCTCTGCCACGATCAGGGACGACCACGAAAGACTGTGGTTAATCGAAGCCCCCACCCAGTCACGTGGTGTTTTATCTCGCCATGTGCTTTCCAGGCTCTCCGCAGGTACACGATATAAGATCTACATTTTCGGAGTTTTGACATTTCTTCCTTTTTTACTTATTGTCGGTCCACCTCACGTCTTCACGTTCTGTGCGCAGAAACCGTACTCAAATACTTGTGGGGTGTGCCTTTAAGGCCGCAAGCCTTATTTCAAGTGCACTAGAGCTCATCGTTAATAAAAACTTGTAAATTCAGCCGTCATCAAGGTCAGGTTGAACATAAAAAACTTGTTTTTCAATTTTATAAGGCCAGATCTAGTAAAGGAGAGTAACCCAGGTTGGATGGAATTGGAATAGAAATATTAGAGAAATAGAAATATAAGACCTAATAATTTCAGGGTTTCATGTCTAAGGTTCTTCTTGTCAATGCCGACTGGCAACATAAGGAGAAGAAACTGCCGGAGAAGTTCGTGCTAAAGGTGTGTCCCAATTCTTTATAACCGACTTTTTTCAGCGAATAATTGGTAAAAATGTTGCTTGGTAAGCAATAGCCATCACTAAGCGCAGTTTCACGACCTAATGCTGGAGGCATTAGCACAGTATTCAGCAGCTTATGAAGCTCCAAAGTCAGGTTTCACAGGGGGCTAAAAGGTGCCAAATTACTGTAGGAGACGGAGCAGTGGAACGCGCTGTATTTGTAGACAGGGTCTCGGGAACTATGGGGGAACTCCTTTTGGTACTCCTTCCGTTTCAGAGTACGAGGTAACTGAAAGGCAACAGTAGACTGTCTCAAAGATCTAACCCACGCACTCAGCGTGTTCACTCACTCTAGGGTACAAAACGAGATTTAAAAGTAGCGGTTACGATAAATTCAAGAAGGGTTTAGCGTTGGCCCTCTTTTTTGGCCATTGGTTTCAGCTCATGAACAGGTAACAGCTAAGAAAGAGGACGTATGA